CACTCAGAAAACCTGGGAACACAGTACTCAACCTCGAAAATTGAAGAAAACTCATTTAAAATTAAAAATTTTCGAATCGAGGCATTGAAAAATGAATCTCATCTATAATAATCGCATACAAGGACAACCATCTTAAAATTTCAAGCACACATGTGATCAACCTTATCAACTCTTATGTATCATAGCTTAATTTGACAAGATTCAGCTCAAACATCAAAACTCTGAGACTGGGAACTAATAGTCAAAACACAATAGTTAAGAATCAAGCTTTATCCTATTGTAATCCTTACAGGAACTAAAGTAACCTATATATCTGACTTTCACAATATTCCATAGCTTTACATAATTTACCTCGATCAACCCTAATCTTATTGTCTCCAGACTCTGCACTTGACTCGTATGCTATAATCAAAGCATTTTACAAATGTTTCCCGAAATTCATATGCTAATAAAAGGCTTGATGAAATCACTAGCTCCTTTTCAAATATCACAATCAATTGACTATATTGTTTTCATAGCTAGGGCTCGCTTTAACAATAAAGTATTAATTATTAATATCTTGGTAGAGTTTGTAGTATAATGCAGTAGATAATGACAAAATAAAACCTTTTTCTTATCTGAACATAAAAAGAACCTTTTTTGGCATAGTAAATATCGTTCGGACCATAAAATCTATGCATTAGCCAGTAAATACCAACAGAATAAATGGTAATGAAGACATGCCATCATAAATTCTATCATTCCCTTCTATTTCTCCCTGCCCCTGGACTGTTTATCAATGTCGCTCTCAAATCTAAGTTAAGGCTTTGATCCAAAAGGATACAATACTAAACATTCTTTTAAGTTTCAGTACCATGTTCCAAACTAAATTTTGTTGAGTTACTCGGGTATTAAAACAAAATAGATCTCTCATATTAACTGCAAAAGTACAACTGCAATGCACTCTGGCAATGATTGGAACTCATAATTCCCACAAGAGCATATACTATATCGTACTTAAAAACAAAGCGGCCTATATAAATAACATAATAAAGTCGGCTTAGCATATATGCTATCAACTAGAAACTCTACCGTTTGCCAATAGGAGAACTTCAATTCTCTCTTATAACACAAATAAGAAGGCTCTAAAGTCGAAACCAAACCAATGGAGGTTGAAATTCCAAAAGTTAAAGAAGGAAAATTATTGTCCCTCTAAATAACATAATCAGACCACTCAGTGATGTGTGAAGTATGATCCATGGTGAAACTTGGAATCTTGTCAAGCTTTATAGGGTTCTCCCTCCCCCTACCAATCTAGCAGGATTCCCCACCGCAGTAGTCCTCGGTGGCACTTCCTTAACACCACAGAGCCAGCACCAATCTTAGCTCCATCACCAATCTTAATATTCCCTAAAATGCAAGTACCAGCACCGATCAAAACACCGTCTCCAATCTTTGGATGTCTATCACCAGAAGCCTTACCGGTTCCTCCTAAAGTTACATTATGTAAAATCGACACATTGTTTCCAATCACAGCTGTCTCTCCAACAACAACACCAGTAGCATGATCAAACAATATGCCACTCCCAATCTTAGCTCCAGGATGAATATCCACAGCAAAAACCTCAGATACCCTATTTTGTATCAGCAAGGCCAAAACGTTCCTCCCTTGAGACCATAAATTATGTGCTACCCTGTGTGCTTGACATGCTAGGAACCCTTTATAGTTCAAAAAGCAATGCACATTACTTATACAAGCAGGGTCTCTTTCTTTAGCAGCTTTCAAATCTTCCTTTACAGCTCCTATAATGCCTTGATCTTCCACGAGCACAGCCATGAAAATATCATATAAAGTAGTACTAGGAAGACTTGAAATGCATAATTTGATCGACAAGTGATTGGCTAAAGCACTCTCTAATGAATTGTGAGACAAGATTGAGGTGAAATAATAATTTGACAAGATGGGTTCTTGCTCAACATCTAACCTTGTTCTTGTTTCATTTTCAGCCATAAAGCACCAACTTCTTTCATTTTCAGCCATAAAGCACCAACTTCTTTCTCTGCTTCTTCTTCTTCCTCTTCTTCTTCAAAAGGAAAATCAACAAATTCGCTTGATTCACGATTTTCATCATGAAAATCAACAAAATCATACCTGAAATGATTTTCATCATGTTGAGACATGTTAGGATGCTGAGATATTTGGGAAGGATTGGTTATTCTCGAGGTACCAACACAAGCAGCCATGGATTGGTGTAGGTTGTTACTATAACTTGTCGATGAGAAAATCGATGAAGAGTATGGATAAGAGAAACGAGTAGAATTTGTATATAAAAGGAGAGTTAAAGGTCTAGGTGTAGCCAGAACTTTCATGGAAACTGGGATTTCCTGGGAAATTTGGTGTTTGATTTGAATCACGATTTATAGGAGAAAGAGGTTAAAGAAAAATTATTAAAATAATTTCTGGTTGCTCTGGGAACTTTGGCCTTTGGTGCACATTATTTTATAAGAGTCCTTAGGCTGCCCTATCTATTGAGGATCAAATTGGTATTCGCTTTTATTTTGTTATTCTTTATATAAAAAATCACATCACAATTATATAATTATATATGAATATCAATGGTATCAACGTTTAATATCTCAAATTATCTTATACTTGTTTAGATTAAAATTAAAAAAATAGAATCAAGGATATTTTATTGGTGAAAGTACAATTCAAGTCCCTATATTAAAGGGACCGTATCAATTTAGTCTCACTACTACTAAATGGGTCAATTAATTTCTTTTATTGTATTGATGAAATCAAATCCATTCTTCTACTTTTTTTACATAAATTTAAATATTTAATATTTAAAAAATGACATTATTTTTTTCATTTACAGTTCAACCCAAAATTGTTTCATTAGCAATACTATAAAAGCTATAAAATATTAATTTTGTTAAACATTAATTGACATTTTCTAAACAATAAATATATTTTTTGTTGAAAAAAATAATAATCTTATTTGATTTTTCTATTAATATAGGGACTGAATTGATTCATTCAACTACAAATGTGAATATATAAGAATACAAACTGAAATAACAATCTAAAATAAGTTTTTTGAAAAATAAAATTAAGATTGGTTCTTGCCATTCAAATTGAATGGTTGAACAGGGAGTATGAAAAAGATGAGGAATGGAGGGTTGCAGTCCACTTGATTCAAATGTGGTATACCCGCTGCCAATGGCTATTTGTGGTCTTTTCTTTATTTGTTTCTCTCTCTATTTCATTCTTTATTATTACTGTGAGTAAACTACATACTTAGTCATCCAACTATTCTTATCATTTCATTTTGATCATCTAATTATTTTTTCAAAATCATACATAAAGTTACGTTTTGATTTTGTTTTGGTCACCCATCATTAAAAAATTGTTAGATAACCAAAAAATATCGTAGAAATAATAGATGATTGAATATGTAGTTTACCCTATTATTTTATTTATATCCTATTTTATTTATTTGTTTTAGTTTTTTTTTCTTTTTTCATGCAAATGTTAAATAAATTTACCTTATTTATTTGGGTAAAACATACAAATATTCTTCCAATTATAAGAAAATATTTTGAGCTCCGACTATAAAAAAATTACATATTAATCACATAACCGAAAAACGTAACAAATTAGTGTAATAATAAATTTAACCTTCAAATTTTATATTTTATTTTAATTTAATCTTAAATTTTTATAATTAATAGTATATTAATTCAATTTTTATTCAATTTTATATATTTTAATAAATATAATCCTCAAATCATATTACAAAACATGAAGAATTAAATTCTTTAAATTAATTTAAAATAAAAATCAAATGAATAAAATATGTAAGAAAATAATTATTAAATATAAAATTATACTAATTTTACTAACTGTTACTTTAAATCAAATATTAATAATAAATATTTGATTAAAATCATTTAAATATTTAAATAATTCAATTAATAAAATTAAATATTAATAATTAAACTGAAATTCTACATAATTAAATGTGATGTGTGTAGTTTGTTGTTGCTTTTACCAGCGGAGTAAAATATTTCGAGACTGTCGTGACGTCGGCGATGACGCCTTGTCGAATTTACGATTCGAAACTGGAAAGTGCAATTTTAGAAAAAGAAAAGGACAAAAATGACATTTGAAATTGGTCACCGTGACTTCCACGCATGTCTGCTTTAATTAATTAAAATGCTCCAATAATAATAGTTGACCTTCTTATGTAACTGATTACGTTACGTGTTCCAAGTTTGACCCGAAGACAAGGCCCACGTCTGCATATTGTCTCGGCTGCAACTCTTCGTGTGGGTTAATTTACGAAAATAATATTTATTTTGATTTATTTATTAAAATAATAATCCAAAACTATTATTGACAAATTTTCTTATATAATAAGATTGAAAAAAATATTTGCTCATATAAGAGTTGAAAATTTTATTTTCCCATTTAAGATCATTATTACATTGTATTGTGAAAGATGTTTGGGATACATTACGACTTTTAAAAGACGTCTGGATTATATGATATCTTTAGGTAAGGCCGTCTTGTAAATTTTGGTGGCCCTATGCCATAACAGTAAAATAGGTCTTTTAAAATTAAAATATTAGATATATAAAGAAGTTCACTAATATTTCAAAATTTATTATAACTATAAGAAAACGTTAAATAGTGGTAAAAAATATCTTTATGTAATAAAGTGAAATACAAAGTAAGATATTCTCCAAATAAATTCGTTCTCCTAGCATTTTTGGAAGCAAAGTTATTGACTAGCTCTTTATAATCAAGACTCTCCGATATATTGTTTTCAGTAGCTATCAATGTCAATCCACTAAGTCTCTCTTGTGACATTGTGGACCGTAAGTAAGACTTCAATAACTTTAGTTTTGAAAAACTTCTTTCTGCAGATTCCACCGTTACTGGAATAGTCAATAGTACTCTAAATGCAATTAGTGCATTAGGAAAACAATCGACATTTTTCATAAATTTTAAAACATCAGTAGGTCTCATATTTTCCTGGCAAGAAATTGTTAAGTAACCTTAGCTCCACATAGAGTTCATTTGCATCAATATATGATCGTCCGTTTTTCTTGAGTGCATCTTCAAGATGACTACAACATGACTTAAGGTGGTTGTCATCAAAGAACTTCAACTTGTCACAAGAGAACAAGAAACCAAAAATTTTCTCGTACTCTTTGTATTGTTCAAACTTTGTTGTAAGAGAAGCAATTGCTTGATCAACAATGTACATGAAGTAGTTGACTTTAAATGACTCCTCTATAGAAAAAGAAGCATCTTGATTAATTGAACTCTCGTCAAATTATCTTTTCCTACGAATTACACGTCTTTGAGGGAAGACAAGATCAACATCCATTTCAGTTGCAATTTGCTTAGCAATATCGACAGCTTTTGAGAACCCCGTGTTTCTAAACTCCTCAAAGAAAGAGATCAAACCTTTAACTTCTTTAATAGCAACATCAATAAGCATATCTTTGGATTGTAAGTTTTTGCTCACTAAATTTACGGTGTATAATATATCGAACCAAATGACAATCGAAACTAAAAACTCAAAATCGCCAAACTCATTTGTTGCTAAAGATTTAGCTTCACTTTTTATTTTGGAATCATTATCGTTCTTTGCAACTTGAAGTAAAGCTTCTCTTACTTCCACAATCTGAAATCTAATAGCTTTGACATTATCAACATGACTTTCCCAGCATGTGGTTGACAACGACTTAAGTGCCAGTCCTTGAACATTATCCTTCAAAATTTGCCACCTTTTAGAAGAATCGGAAAATATTGTGTATATGCGTTGTATTACTCCAAAAAATCTCTAGCTTTTCCACAAGTGTTAGTGTTGAATTATGTTTCGATATAACAAATTTAAAGGCAAAATGTTTTTGGACTTGAATTGAATTTATTCAAAGTTTTAAAAAGGTTTCAAAAGTAATTCAAAGTCCATTTAATTTGAAATTGAGCACAAAAATATTTTGATGAACAGTACTGATACTGTGTGAACAGTAATGAATAGTACTGATGCTAAAAAATATCGAATGTAAAAGGTGTACCGCTGCACTGCTCCAGTGTACCGATGCACTCACTGTTCACACAGCCCAACGGTCATAAAATTTAAATTTAATGAAGGGGTATCGATACACTTTGATAGTGTACCGATACACTCTGTTTTTAGCAGCCTATTTTTGTAGAAAAATAATCCCCAAACGGCTCCAAAACATCTGTTGAGTTAATCGATCGATGGAATTAGCCAAGAGGGGGTAAATTGGCAATTAAAATTTTGGTGGAAGCTTTTGCAGAAAATTGAAAAGATTTGCACAGCGATTTAGAGTGGTTTGACTTTCTCAACCAAAGTCTACGTCCACTACCTTAGCTATCCACACTAAGGATTTTCCAACAAATTCACTGATTTGTTCTTTCTTTTGAGGCCAAAGAGATAACCTTACAACTCCCTCAAGAACCCCAATTCTTGAGAACACTCTTTCTCAGAGAGAATATTACAAATTTGCAAACTTACAAGGAAATCCTCACAAGGTAGATTGTTTGCACAATTCTAGAACAAAGAAAAGAACACCAAAAAATGAATACAATTGAGTACAAGTAGTGTTCTTGAAAGCAAAATGATTATTGAATGAAAAATAGGCTTAAAATACTCAAACTTGAGGTTTGATGCTTTCTCTTTGATTCTCTCTTGATTCTTGTTTCTTGTGTTTTCTTGTTGTTTATCAATGGCTTCTAAGCTTGTTTAAATACTCCTTCAATTGATTCTGAATGTTGGGGATGATTAGTGGAGTCAATAGAGCCGTTTAAGTGTAAAAAACAATTAATAAAATTAGTTCGGAGCGTCAGTGCATCGATGCATACACAAGGTGCATCGGTGCATCAAGTGTAAAATTCAAATATTTTGACCGTTGGACCCTTAGTGCATTCGATGTTTCAAAAGAGTCTGAGTGCATCGATGCATGTCTTGTGCATCGATGCATCAAATGCATTCGATGTTTTCATAAAAACCTGAGTGCATCGATGCATGGTGTGTGCATCGATGCATAAAATGCATTCGATGTTCAATTTATTCATTGGTGCATCGATGCATGGATTGGTGCATCGGTGCATTCCTTTGAAAAATTGATTTTAGGCTTGATTTTGGTTCAAAATACTTTGTGAAAATTGTTTCAAAAATATATTAAGTATAAAACACAATTTTACACTTTTAGTAAGGTTTGAAATTGATCTTGAAAGACTTGGAGTAATAATTTGATATTCGAGTAATTAAATCGAATATACTCAAAAAATCATTTCTAAAATCTTAAAATTCATTTAACTTAATTTGTTATATTGAAACATCAAAATGTTTTCAACAATCTCCCCCTTTTTGATATAACAAAACATTTGAGTAATTTTAAGATTTGAAAATTATTTTTGAAATCAATTTTGAAAAATTACTCCCCCTTACTATAATACTTCTCCCCATAACATTTCTCCCCCTTTTTGTTAAATCAAAAAGACGCTAAAACGATTTTAAACAAGGATTTGAAAAACTTAGCCAAATTGTTTTTAGAAACTTAAAGTTTAAGCTGCTAAGATCAAAGATCAAGAGAAAGGTTAGCCATTAGTTTCATAATCAATATTCATAAACATGTAATGTATAATTGGTCATATATGTCTAATGATGCAAAAATAAACATTAAGCTCAAAAAGAAACCAAACCAAATATATATAAAAAGTTTAAACATCCAATCATCCAACAATCAAAGGAAAAACAATCCCAAAAGCATTCAAAATGTTTTAACAATTAAAAGACTAAGTTGATCCAAAACAAACAAAAATCAAGGTCTACTCGTCCATAGAAGGATCGGGAGGAGGAGGAAATCGTGCTTGCATCTCGAGAGAGAGAGCATCCATATGTTCAAGCATCTGCCGTTGAAACTCCATTTATTGAGCTTCCAAAGTGTCTAAGCGATGATTCACCGCTTCGTTGTTAACAGTCAAATGGGATTCTATGGAAGAAAACCGTAAATCAAATGTCTCCAAAAACGAATGAAAATATAAAGGCATTTGATCCTCTTGTGGTGTCGATGCATTGTCGGGATCGTCAATGTCTTGAAATAATCCTTGAAGCTCGGGATCATCATCTGCAGCCGATGCCGGAGGAGGAGGAGGAGCACGACAAGAGCTAGGAGCAGTTCGTGAAGAACTAGCTCCCGGAGTTTGCTTAGAGGGTCGAAAGACCCATAGACCAGTTTCCTCGTCCTGTTTCCAATCAGCTTTCTTCAACGAGGTGAGATTGATTGGGTTTTGAAGAGGAATGAGATTGTCAAGAGAGACGTTAAGACCGAGTTTGATAAAAATATTGCTAATAAGACATCCATAAACTAATGTTTCAACATGTTTTGAAGGAACAATGTTTATGGTATCTACTAGCTCACTAAATATAATGTGTGGCAAATTTATTTTGTTCTTATTCTTAAGACAGTGCATCCACTATAAATCCCTAATACGAAGAGTGGAGTACCTACCTCCGGATGGTCTAAACCACCAAGAGATCATCAAATGAAGAAGACGATCGTGATGAGATCGTAGAGTACTAACACTAGCATTTGGAACATAGCATTTGGAACATAGCATTTGGAACATAGGTATAATCCACAGTTTCTTTCTCATTATATAGACCATCGTCATCTAGCCCAAAATGTAAAGCTATAGTCTCGGGGTCAATATTAATATATTGTCCTAAAAGGTAGGATCTGATTGCTATAGTTCCACATTGAGTCTGGTTTTGAATACATACCACATTAGAGTAGAAAATATGGACTAACTGATGATAGACGATAGGTTTTAGGGGAAACATTTTATCAAACTTCCATGTTTTGAGAATCGGAAGATATTCGAAGTCAATATCAATCATGGCTTGAATAGAAGGAATACGCTCTTCCCCGTATTCTATAAGATTGGAAAGAATTTATATACCTATGGTACAAGTCGTCTCTACGACATTCAAGCATATTAAAACGGGATCCTTTAATGTTTTGATCATTTGGTTTGGATTTTTAGGTTGAAGAGGTATGGGAGGTCAGTTTGAATGACTCGATGAAGAGGTCCTAGGGCTTTTAGGATTTGACATAATTAAGGAATGGAATAAGGAATATAACCTGTAATTTTGAAACACATGTATGCAAAATAATCAATCTCAAAACTCAATTGAGTCCACAATAATTCAAGGTTTTCTAAACCGAATCCTAATGGGCATAGTTTTGAAAAACTATTTAGAAAACAATGTTTGAAAAATATAATATGTATAGTATTTCATGAAAACAACATAATTAAATCAAAAACATCAAATTTAAAAATTAAATTTATATTTACGATTTTTTTATTTCAAAAATTCAAAAATTCATTGAAAATTTGTGAGTTTTTGAAGAAATTAGTTGTAAAATCTAGTTTGTAATCATCAAACAATCAATGCCCGATATAATGTTCATCCTAGAACTAATATAAACTAGTTCTAAAATAAAAATATGATAAAATAGAGGGTTTTTTTTAGAAAAATACCTTGAAAATTTCGGATTGATGAGAATGAGAAGTTATTTTGCTCGATTTAATGATAGTAGCAGGATATGGAGATGAAAAGCTCGAAGAATCCGACAATTTCTTGTTAATTTTGAGCAGAAGGAGAATTTAGAGAGGAAGAGAGGCGTACGGTTGATGAGAGTTTAGTTTTAGGGTTTGAAACAAATAAGAAAATAAGCCTTTTAAACCCAAAACCCGACGGATGCATCGATGAATGGCTTTGTGCATCGATGCACATTCAAGGAGTGCATCAGTGCATCTTCATGATGTATCGATGCACATTCAAAGGGATGCATCGATGCACTGTTAAGTGTATCGATACATTAAGCAAAAAAATGTTAAAAATCCATTTTAAACACTCAAAATGCTAAATTAATTAGCTCTAGTGGTATTGGCAACTCATATATTGAAAATTAATAATGTTCAATCAATCAAATCAATCCTTAAACTACATTTGAACATAAAGTTAATTTTCACTAAAGAACATAAACTCCCCCTAACTAATAGCAAAGAATGCAATCAAAAATTATTATTATAAGCATTTTTCATTTATTCTTAAAAGTGCTAAAAATAATTTAAACACTAAGTAAAGATAGGTCAGTTAAACCTAATTCTCTTCTAAGTGTCCAAAATCTTTCTTTGTCTAAAGGTTTTGTAAAGATATTCGCTAATTGGTGCAAAGTATCAACAAATTCTAGAACTACATATTCCTTAGTGACATGGTCTCTAATGAAGTGATGTCTTATTTCAATGTGCTTAGTTCTAGAGTGTTGGATGGGATTTTTAGTGAGACAAATAGCACTAGTATTGTCACACTTGATAGAAATGGTACCTACTTCAATTCCATAATCAAAAAGTTGTTGTTTCATCCATAAAACTTGTGCACAACAACTACCGGCTGAAATGTATTCCGCTTCAGTGGTAGATAATGCCACATAATTTTGTTTCTTTGAAAACTAAGAAATCAACATATTTCCAAGGAATTGGCAAGTACCAGAGGTGCTTTTCCTATCTAATTTGCATCCTCCATAATCCACATTAGAGAAGGCATGCAAGCTAAAGCTAGAGTCTCTAGGATACCAAAGTCCTAAACTAGGAGTGTCTTTAAGGTATCTAAAGATTCTCTTAACAGCTAGTAAATGTGATTCCGTAGGGCATGATTGAAA